ACAAATAATAAATATGACAACCAGGGTGCCAGTGGTACATCATCTTTCTGTAAGTGATTCCCAAAATGTAGTTTGAAGTCCATTACATAGCTCCATTCTCCAACACAAGAGGGAGCTGAAATATCTTGAGAAATAGACAAAAACAGACAACAGAGGTGTTGGCAAAAGGCAGTACGGCATCCAGCAGAGCTGGAGTAACTACACTCAGCGGAACCCAACTGCTGCAGAGCCGCTGGCACACCTCTGAAGCATGCCTAGCTCTCCAGGGGAAGGGAGAGGTATGTAGTGCACATTTAGCACCAGGCTATCCTGCTCTTGGCTGGAGGAAAGCACTCTCCTGGAGCCAAGGTAATCCTTCTGCATTGTAGCGATGCCATGCCCAAAGGCACCTAAGGAGTGCAGGCAGCAGCTCTATGTATGGCAGAGCTGGGTCTTAACCAGAACAACCCTGTTACACTTTGCTGACCTTGTGTAGAGCCACTCTGCTGTCTCTGCACTGCACCCCTAGCCCCAGAACTGCAGTGAGTCAACTGGTGTTCAACCTGCATGGAGCCAGCTCAAGTCTGCCTCTCACAGCTCTGGATGTACACCTTGGAGACAAACTGCTGTGGGAACAGTACAGCTGAATTTAAGCAGTGCTGTACCTGAAGTAAAATAACATGGAGCCTGGCAAACTGTGTGCAAAGAGCTCCATCCCCAGCTGCCTGAAGCAGATAATCTAGCCTTCCACAGATAAAAGAATCAACTGCATTTTACACTCTGAAGGAAACTGGCAGCAATGATAAATGATTTATGGTTGCCCAAATATATAACACAAGAGATGCATGTAGGAGAGCCTTGTAATTGAGTACAATTACCATGCTTCAAATTGCCTTCTAAATTGAGTATGTAATGTAATTTCTATAGATTGCACGCTGTATATACTGACAGTCCATTTAGCACCTTCAATCTACAATTTACATTAAGTCTTAAATCATAAAAACCTAGTAACTACCAGAATAGGGAACCAAACTCAGGAGACCAGGACTATAACTATTTATATCTTAGCTAATTTCCAAATACTTATTCTATGCAAGCCATTTAGGTTTGATCTCCTAAAAATAACTACTAATTTTTAGAAGTATTTGGAAGTTCTTAGAATTACTTAATATGTTAACAAACACATTTTTTAGTATCATACTAATTTGCTGACAAGTCGATGACACTTTTGCAATCTGAGCAAATTGTATACAACACATCTCATAATTGCTCAGATGAATGACACTTCTATAATCATGTCACATTTAGGTAAAGAACTTTTGCCTTTAATAAAAAGACAAAGAATCAGCCTCTAGAATTGTGTAATCATATTTGAGTTAAAATGCAAAATTATAATTGATTTGAGATTGGAAAAAAGGAGGACTACTCCAAGATCTTTAACTTGAGCTGCTTGTACAAATCCTTTTAAATTTCCAAAATACAATTGTGTAAATATCCCTAGGGATTAATAATACAAAAGGCTTCTCACAAAGTCCTTAGAAAGCACTAGTATGATAAAAAAGTCTAGGAGAATTCTACACCTGAAACTCTTATCTCCTGTTTTCTGGCTGTGGATTAAAGGAGTTGGAGTGAACAGGATACAGACTAGTTTTCAGATCATGACCCTTGACATTTCTTTTTGCTTTGGTTTGGTTCATACTGTTTATACTCAAATATCACTTCCATAAAGAGTATGTTCTGAATTGCTCAGAGTGGAGACAAAGTAAAGGTTTATAATAATCCTTATTTTATAGATGGGAACACTAAGACACAGAGAAGGATTTATTGGTTCCAACACTACCTATTATTAGAACAATGACTGGATTCTTCACTTACTGAGTCCCACAAAGCAGCTGCCCTCCTGCCTCCTCAATAATGTGTCTTTAGTAAGGTTTATTTGTGAATACCAAATAGCTGGGCTTCCTATTAACTCTTTGTGATCTGACACCAAATTAAAGAGGACTCACGTGCTGTGCAAAGACAAAACAGAAGACAGCGAACTCATTGCTGTTTGCCAGTATTAACAGAGGTGAACTGTTTCCCTTCAGCTGAATGCAGTGTGGAAGTAAGGAAAGAACTGCTGCCAGAGTTATTGGGTGACTAGGGAAATCTTCCCAGAAGAGAGTAAAGGGAAGGAGAGGACCAGAAGAAATCTCCCTAAGAGAGAAACCAGGATCTCTGAACATAGCTTCAACCTGAAATCCCTTCATGTTCTTGCTCCTTTTGCAGATAGGCAGAAAGACTCTTGGGACTCATATTTACAGTGATGTACAGTCTCAAAGTCATTGCAAATGTAATTTACACTCTTTTACACAGAAAGCAGTCTTAGCATAAATCAGACTCCTTTGCACAAATCCCTGAATAATATTAGTTTTTTTAAAAAGGTAATTTCTTCTCTCTAGCGTATGTTCTTTTATTCTTGGTGCCGTACTAACTAAATATTGCTAGAGCTCTGACTAGAATATCAGAAAGCTTACACAATTTATTAGCTCCTCTTGTATTTTGCTCAGCATAATATAATAGGTCCTTTTCCAACTTTCTGTTGGCTCCATCTGTTATTATTTTCTGTCTTTCCCCATAACATTTGCTTGTCCTTTTGGCATATATTTTTAATCTACTTTCCTTCTTTTCTCAATAACAAACAGGCAAAATAGTAATTCTAGTTGTTTTACTGCCTCTGATTTTTCCTTTCTGTTTGACTCAGCGTTATGAATTTTGAGAGTTTATTTTGTTAGCAGAATTGGACAAATTGGCTTTTACTTTAAACATTCTCAGTAACTTTGGACATAATTTAAAAAACAGATAACATGTTAATGCCAGTTGGTGCTGTATCTCCTCCAATTCCCTGGCTTAGGGATTTTAGAGAGATCAGTTTATACCATCTTATCTATGACTTGTACATGTCCCATTGCGAAATGGAACAATCCTGCAGCTAGTGAAGGCAAACTCAACTCAGGAATAGATGTTGGCCATGTTCCATTGTTCTGCTGTAATATACAAAGGCTCAAAATTCAGGTGTTTTGACCTCAGAACTTCATGAATGTGAAATCTTGCAGTCTCTTATAGTCTTCCTTCCTTCATATTTTCCTCTTTGTATAAGACAATGACTGGGTATAATCTAAATTATAAATCATGGATTTATCACTCAACCTGCCTTAACAGAGACATGCTAAAAACAGCCTCAGTTGCTCCTGAGATAAGTACTCCTTGATGTGAAACATAATTGTGTCATAGTTGAGCTAACTAGATTTTTTATAGCATAACTGGTGTATGGTAACTGATATGAATAAGATTAATACAAAGTTCTTTTCGAATCTGCCCTTCTCCAAAAATTACTTGTTCAAACAACATTATAGTCTGGTATCTTTCAAACAAAGATGGTTTAGCCTTCTCATACATCTCTTCAGATGTCAGCACATTTTAACCTAAATCACGGTCTAGCATTAGACTTTTTTTATATTTTATATTGATACTGGAACAGAAATGTAGCTTCTAATAGGTAAACATTCCCAAACTACAGTCCAACAACCCTTAAAAAAAAAAAAAAAAAAAAGGCATATTTTTGAAAACTTCTATGACATATTGTCATAGAGAGAAGAAAAACAAAAAAGAAAAAAAAAAGAAAAGGAAGCAAAACTTGCCAGAATTACAGCTCAGAAACAGCAGCTGTCTATAAAGATTTCCTTGCTTAGCTGCCCAGTTTCACATCTGTTTTGACTGGTTACAAAACTATTTTCCTCTTCCTATATAAGATCCCTTACACCGATTAAGGGAGCAGAACTCTTGGAATAGAGATTCTCCTAAAAATCCTGGGAATCCCACATTTAACTGGCAGTTCTGGCAGGTGTTTCAAACAGTAAGACACATTCCTGGCTGGTTCTTGGAAAGCAAACACAAAAGGAAGCAGGCTGCTTTACATATCCAGAAAAATATTTTGGCCAGAAAACGAAAAAAGTTAAATGGGCACAAAGAATGTAAGTTCAGAATCAGTTTTCCTGAGCAGACATCTACATATCATAATCCAGCAACACCCAGCTCAGATAGAGATAGCAGTGTAACTGTGATAGCACCCTCCTGAGATCCTGGATCAAACATTCTGATAAGAACCCTGTGAAGCTTTTCCTGGCTCCACTTACTCCTGTCCAAGCCAGTAAGTTTAGAATGAAATCAAGCATCCCTGCCCAGTGTTGATATCACCTGTCAAACTCTCTTTTCTATACTTCAGTCTGTTTCACTGTATAGATCTCAAAGGAATTAACCTGTTCCAGTAAGCAGCAGAATTTCCTCTGCTATCAATCTACTGTCTCTGAACAACTCAGAGCACCATATCCAATTTAAATTTACGAACTGTTGCTTTTCCTATCAAAACACTTTTTCCATTTAGAGCCTCACAACAGCCTATTAAAAAAGTAGTTGAAAGTAACTTTGTAACAGCTCGAGTTGTAGGAAGCCAGCTGTTTGCTTGTCTAAAATCACAAAAAAATTGGGTTGGAAGAGATCTCTGAAGATCTTCTAATACAACTCCTTAACCAAAAATCAAAGCCAAATTCAAAAGTAAATCAGTCTGCTCAAGACTCTTGCTGGCCAAGTCTTAAAAATCTCCAAGGATGGGGATTCTGCAGCCTCTCTGGGCATCTGTTCACTGTTCCAGCAAGAATCAACAAATTACACTTCCAAAATCCCCAAACACTTCCAGTGAAGGAGAGTGCTATCATTACGGCACTATGGTGCTAAACTGACACTGATGAGTGTCAACAAGTGAGACCATAAAAGTCATTGTGGGAAGAAGCACAATACTTCAAGTATTGCTTCAAGAAGCACAAGTATTTCAAGCACAGAACAAACTTCAGTAACTGCTAGCCATGTCAGAAGAGCAGCTGCTATTGCAGCGCAGCATCCACTTCTACTGCCCACAGGATGAGATACGTAAAAACCTCTTTCCCCAAGTGACTTCACTTTGTTTCTGTGTATCTGATATGTAGGCGAGGAGTTCTGCACCTGCACGAAAGCCGTGGAATACATGACCTTGGCTTGCCTCGTTGGCAACTTTCCCTGTGCCTCTTGGTGGTGGTAATCATTCTTTTCTTTAGTCTGTGGAAAGGCGTGAAGACTTCAGGAAAGGTAGAGCTCATATTGTCCTTTTATCTTCACTACATTCTTTGTCACCTTTAAGAAGTCCCCTAACTTTAGAAAGCAAGAGAATAAAATCACTGCTTTTGCAGGGTCATTGGGGACCAATCCATGTAAAAGGTCTTCATATATGTACAGTGGAAATACACAACTCAGATTCAGCCTTTATTTTATTTAGAAGTTTTGCTTGTGAGATTATCTAATTGGAAGTTTATTTGCATATTATTTTCAATTCAGCATTACTGGTCTCAGCCAGAAAATATATTTAAAGACCTTTAATTGTCTTAAATATGCCTCCTGTTCTTAGCCAAATGTACTGGTGCTTTGATGGTTTAAGATGCTTTGGTTTTATTATTTAAAAAATGCCACAACAAGAGAAATACCTGATGAAATTAATTTGAAATTCCTCTCTGACATCCCTCAGAAAATACCCCAAGAGACATTCTAGGGTTGGATACATCTGAGAGCTTTTAGTACACTTTCACTAAAGCATCACCTAACAACAGGAAATGACTGCATTTGGATAGTAAACAAATATACAGAGCTGAACAGCTAATCAGCAGTCTAACACACATTGCTAACTACAAGCACTCCACATCTGTTTGTCAAAACTGTCTCCTACTGGTATCTGTAAACATACAGGCTCACAATCATCAAAGAGCATTTTCCCCCAAGATTTCCTTTATAGCCTCTCCATCAAACTAAATGGACAAAACCAAGAAAGTACCAGCTGTATTTTTCACACATTCTTAAAGCTTCTGTACCAGCTGATTAGCCTTTGGGATCTCTGTTGTCTGCAGGTTGTTTGGATAACAGCCACTTTGCCTTATGTTGTATTATTTGTCTTGTTAATACATGGAATAACCCTGCCTGGTGCATACAATGGAATAAATGCATACCTGCACATAGATTTCAGAAGATTAAAAGAAGCCACAGTAAGTGTACTTTTCTGCTTATATTCCCGTGTTATTATTAAACCTGTTGCCCCTGTAATGAAAACTGAAAATATTAGATCTAATTTCTGAAATTATGTAGCAACACCTCCACTTTTTCATAAGTCCACTGTCCCTAACAGTCCAACTTTCCAACACTGTCCACAACAGAACTATCTCAGTCTGAACCTAAACTGCTCTGCCAATGCTCTTCACAAAGACCTTACAATATCCTGATCAATGTCAAGATCTACCTCATTTTATAAGACCACATACTGCAAAGCACTGAGCAATCCCTGAGACATCCCATTTTCAGGGATACTGAATCCACAAAGGGTCTCTATTAAAAAAGTATGAGAAAAATATTCCACTGAGGACCTCTTAACTAGACCAATGCTGAGCTCTGTTCCCTGCTGAAAGTCCAGAAGCCACAAACCATAATACTCTCCACTGCACAAATGACATATTAAACTTGCGTGTAAAACAGCAGCAATACTTCTGTCCTGCTAAAAGAATCAGCAATAAATACAGAGTTGTATCAGACATGAGGAAGACTCTCACTTTTTCATACACCTGAGCAAGTTTTCAGAAGATTATATAGCCGGGGGGGGGGGGGGGCAAATTTCCTCTCCGCA